AAAAAAAAAAAAAAAAAAAAAAAAAAAAAGGCTCCAGCCTCTTGTGAATGACCACACAGAAAAGGGCCTCATCCTTAGAATGAAGTGATCCCCAGATTTACAGCACAAGTTTACTAAGTTTTTCTACCTATGTACGTTGATAATAGCCGCCTGCGATTCCTCCATTATGCCTCCCTCTCTATGGATTTCTTACTCTGCTTCCTTATGCCTCTCCTCTCTTCTCTAGCACTTTAATCCATCTCATACTGAACTCAAAGAAGGCCAAAAATGAGATTTTTAAAAAACAGTTATCCAGTAAATTAATAAAATATTGATATAAGCCAGGGATGACTGAAATTGCCCAGTAGATGTATTTTATTTCCCCCCACACACACACACATACAGTTCTTAAAGAATGATTTTTTTAAATTTAAATGCCTTTGAACTTTGCACATGCTTACCAGTTTGCCACCATCCTCACCATTCTCTATGATATCCCACACCTATCCTCCTTCTTGCATTTATATTACTGGCCAGTTTTTAGAGTCAGTCTGGTTCCTTTTCGAATTCCAAGGCTTTTTCAGTCTGCCCTCCTTGGGAATCTTCTGTGTGCAGTTTAGAATTCTAGAGTATTACAAAAGACATGGCTACTTTGTAGATGTTTACAATCAAATGGGAGGAGTTGTTAAAGCAAATGAAAGGTATAAATCCAGTACTCATAAATCCAGTAACTCATCCAGAAAGCAGTTAAAGAACATTAGAGTTGTACTCATCGCTGGGAATGATATATGATCCCAAACAGTAAATCTTACAAATGTACAAAGAGATACAGTAGGTTTTGTGTGTAACCTTGCAAATTTTGCTTGGGTAGTTGATTCTGACTAATGGAGCTTTAGCCTGTTAGTTCATAGGGTCCTTGGAGCTGTAAGATGACTTGATAATGAGTCCTTTATATCCATGTTCTCAAGTGTCAACCTTCCAGTTCTTTCCATGTTTCTTTCCGTATTCCCCCTCTTTCCATACTTCATGTCCATAGGATGGCTTCAGTTCTCATTTGGGCTATGGACACATCTGCCTGTGGAATTCTCCTGACTGTTGGTAGTAAAATTGGAAGACTGTTGGTAGTAAAATTGGAAGACTGTAATTGTTTCCTCTTTTAATAAAACCTTCTCTGTTTTTCCATTTTCCAGCAGATATATGGAGTGATCACTCCTTTCAGACTGATCCAGATTTGCCACCTGGCTGGAAAAGAATCAGTGACATCGCTGGGACCTATTATTGGCACATACCAACCGGGACGACTCAGTGGGAACACCCTGTCTCCATCCCAGCAGATCTTCAGGGTTCTAGGAAAGGGTCCCTTAGTTCTGTAACGCCATCTCCCACCCCAGAGAACGAGGTAAAATGGAGTGTCTTGTTGATGGCTTAGTAGAGTGGATGTAACTTGTGATTTCTCTTTAGACTCATTGCTTCTGCCCCAACAGGTCATCAAGGTAAGCTTTTGATTTTCATGCATGTTGCATTTGAAACCGAAATGCTTCCTCTTAGTGAATAGTGTTAATACCATCTTTCAGGGATGTTTTCATTTTTTTAATGGCTTTTGGTCTCTTGAAACACCATTTCAGGTACAGAAAGTAAGAGAGGCTGATTAATGAGAAGTGGTTAAGATTCCCTGGGGCTCACTGAGGCAGTAATTTACTCTGTAGGTGCTGTTGCGTGGTGCTGGTTCCATAAAATATTTACACACAGAAGAATGTCTCTTGGCCAGATGTGTTATAATTACTGCATATCTTATTAATATCCGTGGGCTCATTTGACTGCATGGAGAGAATGTCTGCAGGAATAAGCCCTGAGAGCCCTTAAATGCTTAATTTCCTGAGGCAGTAATTTACTCTGTAGGTGCTGTTGCGTGGTGCTGGTTCCATAAAATATTTACACACAGAAGAATGTCTCTTGGCCAGATGTGTTATAATTACTGCATATCTTATTAATATCCGTGGGCTCATTTGACTGCATGGAGAGAATGTCTGCAGGAATAAGCCCTGAGAGCCCTTAAATGTTTAATTTTTAATTAAAAAAAAAAAAAAAAAAAGGAGGATCTGTTTATTTAGCAGAAGTGACATTGTTTTAGAAGTAATTAGCAGTATAAATTTGTTCTGTCCCTGAGGATGAAATCTGATGTTTAAACAAAGAACTGAGGCATTAAAAAATTCCATCGTGCTATTTACTAATACAAAAATCCCTGCAGTGAACCTTTGTGAATCCTGATAACTAAATATTCAAGAGAATTACAGTGGGAAAAGGTTAGAGTTAAGTAATGGCTTTGCTGGAGAAAAGAAGTTTCATTCCTAACACACAGGCAGTTCTGCCTTTTTTTGATCACAGTCTTCTGCTCTTTGAACAACTCATTTTCTTTTACTTTGAGGACATGGAAGGAATTTGAACTGCATCTCTTACCCCAAAGTTTCTCTACATATTTGCCGCTGTTATCACCCTTCCTGCCTTTGAAAGTAAACAACATCTTCCATTATTTACTGGCTCTTCTCTGGGAGGCAGGAAGACCTACATTCCAGCCACATTC